CCCTCCTCGGCCATGTCCTGGCTCCAGGGCAGGCGGCAGCTCCAGCACGCGGCCTGCACCGTGCTACCCATTGCCAGCACCACGCTGCCCATAGCCTGCACCGCACTGCCCATCGCCCACCCCGTGCGCACACAGGGATTCGGGACATGGCATTTCCCAGGCAGGTTCCAGGGAGGACGTGACTTCCAGAGCACCCTGCAAGCTCCTCCAAGTGGCCCCAGGCTTCCATGTTTCCTGGAGCAAAGCACGACTCCAGCTCTTGATGTCCGGATCAAGCGCCTGTCTGGCCTAGCTGCGCTCTCAGTTCATACCCGAGACGGGCCTTCCACTTGGGCTCCTTATGCCAAATGTGTTTCATAATACTGAGGGCAAACCCCAAGTATTTCCATTATTTTGAAATATTTTCCCCATATTTTTATTCCATGTGAACTTCCCTTTTTCCCTTTTAAGGATTATCTCTTTTCCCCGAGTTCTTGGTGACGGTAACTTCTGCTCATCATACAAGGCAGCCCTCTGGATTACGCTGCTCCTCATCAGTTCTGAGTCGCTCTTTGCATCCACGCACGTGCTCTTTGTGCAGCTTAAGATAAAGCCCAAAAAAGGAAGGCTGTGCTATAGACCTGTCTTAAATATATTTCTGCTTTACATGATGCCTATTGATTCCTCCCTCACCTTTTCTTTGGACTCTGCGCAATATTTCTATTTGGTTTTTCTCTTCGTGAACAGGCATTAGAAATCATAGCTCAAGGTTTAGTTTCATGGAAAACTGATGTTTAGAAAATCTAGATTTTTCTTCTGCAACTCTATCTGTAAACAGAGCATTCTGAATTACAGACATTATTAAGAGTCTATGAGACCTAAGCATTTTTCCTGTTTTTGATTTCCCTCCCTTGTTTTATTCTCTTTTTAGTTAAAATAAATAAATAGGTAAATAAAAGATGCAGAGGTCTGGAAAACCCAGTTTCTGCTATTCAATTTCTTTCAGTAAATATAGATTATGCAACGAATTACTTGTGTATTTCATTCACTTTGAGAAAAAGAGTGGGCTACACACCATAAATATCCTTGTTCAGTACTCAGGGAAGGATTGCCAGAGACCTAGTAGAAATACGCATTGCAAGTCAAAGTATAATAATATACCAGATCTGGAATGCTCTATGGA